TCCTAAACATATCCAAACAGTATCCAACGTAGTGTTCCAATATATAGTAGGGCCAGGTGTAATAGTATAGAACACACAATTCAATAATACTTTTACATGGTATCAGAGTCTGTTTATGCTGGTTGAGACTTGTATATCCATGTATAAGAATAAATATGAGAGTTAAAGAATGTCTAGTTGTTGTCTTTTTTATAATGCTCCTAATTCATCTTAAAAAGTAAATGATTTGGAGTTGGAATGGGATGTATCTGAATAAAGCGTAATGAGTACAAAGGATTCATCTGACTTATCCCAACTAATTTGCGATTGAAGCATAGTTGATCAGTATATTATGCTCTTTGCTGACATCTTGGGCGGTGCTGCACTTAACTACATTTAGCTTGGATTCTTCTGTCCTATTTATGCTTTTTTCGTCTTCACTTTTCTTGTCAGTCAGGATTTCCCTGGTTAATTCCAAAGAGTTATTAATTGATGAGAATATTTACCAAAAGAATGAGAAAAACGATATTTCCAACTTCTGTCTTTAACACAAAGAAACAAGTAATAATATAAGGACATTCTTAAGTACATGTTAATTTATCATATTTTATATCTTTTCAGACACAAAATCGTCAATCCATTGCTGCCAAATTGGTCGGGAACGTTATAACAGAAGCAGGTGCAGATCGTGTTATAGCTTGTGATCTTCACTCTGGGCAATCCATGGGTTATTTTGACATTCCAGTGGACCATTTACAATGTCAGGTAATCTATTAAGTGTGTCAGAAACATTAAGAACTGCAAATTTACTTAGCTGATTGGCAGTTTCCGTTCTTTGTACATGCTAGCCTGTTATCACGGATTACCTTGCTAGCAAGAAGATTAGTTCCAATGATCTGGTGGTGGTCTCTCCTGATGTTGGGGGAGTTGCTAGAGCACGTGCTTTTGCAAAAAAATTGGATGCACCTTTAGCCATTGTCGACAAAAGACGCCAGGAGCACAATCTTGCTGAGGTAGTTTCAGAGATAAAGTTTTTGATTTCACACTTGACACAGTTTTATCTCCTATTGGCTTTTACTCATAGATACATGAAGTAGATGAAATGATTCTTTTCTATCCATTGAGCGAAATTTTCTGTCTTGTGTATATCCTCCTGTCTATCTAACATGGGCTCTATTATTTCTTCATTATATTGATAGAGTCATCTCATGTATGCAAAGAAACTAAATTAAATCTTCAGAGAATAAATTGTGGAGATAAAAATAAACGAGATTGCATCATCCTCTTTGACCATGTAACGGCTGCTTCTTCATAGATCTCTGGCAGATGACTTGATCTAGGCCAAATGCTTAGTGAGATCATGACACCAAATAATTATGGTACAGTGGTGTTCTTGTTTTGTGTGCGTCTGTCTACAGTTTTTGTATAGCTTCCCCCTCTATTTTGGTCTATCTTTTCAGATATGGTTTGCTCATGTGGTGAATCATCTCCTAAATTATTATTTGTATTTTATCACTATCACCTTCATGAATAAATCTTCTACTTAAAAAGAGGCAGAAAACCAGACATGCTCATAATCCATGAATATAAAAGAACAATACCAAGAGTTTTATAGTATTTCGCAAAGCAATAAGTTCTAGGTTCTAAGATCAGTTTCACTTTTTTATTTTTGGGTTGCGTTTCACGCCATTTTATTTGTCATTGATTCCATCTTTTGTTGTTGCCCGCAGGTTATGAACCTGATTGGTGATGTTAAAGGAAAGGTTGCTGTCATGGTTGATGACATCATTGACACAGCAGGTGAGCTTGATTATATATATCAGATACTCATGGCAAGCCATAAACTGGAGATTTCTGTTTTTTTCTCTCCCTTTTCAAAGAGAGCATCCAGTTTTTTCGTTACGCGTAAATCTGTCTTAGATTATGAAGTGTCTCAATAAGAACTTCCATTCCCAGTTTTTATTAAATTTCCTTATGTTTCTGTAGTCCTTGGTCAGCTCCCTTTTTTTCTTTCTTTCTGAGGAGATCAGTTTTGAATATTAACATCTTGCTGATGGATCGTAGGGACTATTTGCAAAGGTGCAGAACTTTTGCACGAGGAGGGAGCACGGGAAATCTATGCATGCTGTACACATGGTGTTTTTAGGTAACATTTCTGTGCATCATACAAACATGGAAAAATCTTTATATATTTTGGAATAAGCTTTCAGTTACACTGTATCTTGGTATGGGTTCTTTATTACACACTTGATTTTTTGTTTTTTCTTTAACGTGCAATTGAACTCTTCCTGCGTGCAAATTGTTCTATTCTTTAGTAGTTCATGAACCAGGGTTAATTGGACTGAGCTTCCATCAACATGTGTTGTGGAGTTTGAACAACATTAGTTAATACAAGAGAATAACTTGTGGATATAGACATGTCCATTTACGAGTAAAATTCTGGCTCATTGAAATTGGATATCATAGGAGTTGTCTTGTATTAGACTTGTTGTATAAGTTTGTTGTCAAGACAAAGACTTGACATGGCTCTTTTCTGTCTATTTGATGCAAATGCTATTGCTCTTTTTTTCCATTAGGCACCTATACTCATTTATCGCACAATTTAGTCATTATGCATATTTCATTTGCTGTTGGCTAAAGTGCTGATATTTTGTGATGACAGCCCCCCTGCAATTGAATTGTTGTCAAGTGGCTTATTTGAAGAGGTTATCACGACAAACACAATTCCTGTGATGGACAGACACTACTTCCCCCAGCTGACTGTTCTCTCAGTTGCAAACCTTCTTGGTGAAACAATTTGGCGTGTACATGGTGATCGTTCCGTAAGCAGCATTTTTCAGTAGCCAGGAATATAAGTTATAGAGTTTTTCCAGCCTTGTTTTCCTATGTATGTAGCCAAATAGAAACTATTTATATTTTCAGAATTACAAGGGTTAAGGTAGATATGCAAAAAAAATTGGATCAGATAGGCAAATGCTGGAAGAATGATGTTAATAGTATGTGCAATCAATACATGTTTATCTTCATGTGTAGGTAGGTAGATGGTGCGTAAAATATTAGATTATGAAGTAAGGATCGTCCAACTCATCATAATTTAAAAATTAAAACGGTAAAATATTTTTCTTACCCCACTCCACCATTTCCTCTTCACCGTATCCCCCACCCCCTCATTTTTTATTTTATTTTTTCATTTAAATTTCTTTTATAAAAGTATTTAATTTTTTTTTTACTTAATCGCCCCCACCCCCTTCAAATAATAATTTAGATATTATGTTATTTTCTTTTAAAAAAATAATTTATCCCTCTATTTTCAATTTGTTTTTTTAGTGTTGTGTTAGATATATACATGACTTTTTAGGAAAGTATCTTTTATTTACCGCAAAATTTTGATTTTTTTTAAATAAATTTTTTATTTATGTTATATCCGATATACAAGTAGAAGATATTAGTATAGTTTTTGTAACGAGATTTGAATATACTTTTATTTCGTAAGATTTTGAAACTGGAGAAACATTAAAATGTTGAATTATTCCAACCACACTGTGACAAATTCTTGTCATCCTGGGCCCAATTCTTTTGACTTATAACAATTATAAACATATCCTGTTACAGTGGACCGACTTAGATTTGTTACACTTTTCTTCAACAAAGTGGCAGACTTATCAGTCACAAGCAAATTATTATGCTACAGAAAAGGAAGAAAAAAAAGACTTTTTCCTTTAGTGAACAGTATTTGGATAATCAAACTTGTCAAGTTTCTAACTTTCTATAGTTTCCTTCCATTAGAACCCTGAGCTATCACCTGCAAATTGGTGGTTTATTGATTCACTCAAAATTTACTTATATAGAAATGAAATGGAAGAATATTATTTTATAGAAAAGTATAATTGGGAAAACCTTCTACTAGCCCTAGATCGTTAACTAAGATCGAAAAATTCAACTTAAGAAGAGGAAGCTAGAAAGGAAAATTTGTATTTTGGATAAAAGAACTTAGTTATGGAAAAAGACTAGTTAATTTGAGTTGCTCTTGGATTGTATTATAAATGCTTAATGGCGTATCTAGATATTTCTATATTTTACTATAAATATCTAATTATCTAGGATATCTACACATTTCTTAGATACTACACTAGGCTATTCTAAAAACTTTATTAGATAAATCTATGTCATTTTAAAAAATTAACTTTATTTTTTGACACATGCCAAATAAATTTGAAATAAGAATGCATATATTAAGTTATTTAACTATGCATGAATTAAGTTATTTGAAAACGTACTATCCCTTTTAAAGTAAATAATTCTCTTCATCACAATTTTCTCATTATTCCTCATCACCCACCCACTCAACCTCCCTTCCCTTTTTAGCACTCAATAATACTCCCTCCGTCCCATTTTATGTGGCAACATTTCCTTTTTGGTCAGTCCCAAAAAGAATGTCACATTTCCTTATAAGGAAAGTATTTAAAGGTACAATTCCTTTTTTATCCTTGTTGGTCCCACTTAATCTTAAAATAATACTCCAATACATTTATGAGGAAAGAGAAATTGAGTCTACTTTATAAAAGGGCAATTTGGTAAACATTTCAAAGTCTTCATTTATTTCTTAAACTCCGTACCCGGTCAAATGTTGCCACATAAAATGGGACGGAGGGAGTAGAATTTACTTTTTTTGTGATGGATAAAATGTTGTTCAAATTCAAATTTAATGGTTTTCTTTTCTTTCCAAATTATTGTAATCCCCGAATATAATAGCCCCACAACACCACTTACCATAAATAACCCAACCCATTATTCTGAAATCAAAAGGCAATCAATAATGTCACAAATCGAGCTAAAAAGGAGAACCTATTTTTCAATATGCCCCGCTACTTCCGCTTCAAATTATTTATCTTTATTTGAATAGAATAAATAATTAATGAAGAAAAATTATATTTATAATTTTAAAAAGTTAAATTATTAAATATTTTTAAAAACGTGTAAAAAGGAAATACGATAGATAATTTGAGACGGAAGGAACATATAAAAAAACGAAACATTTTCGCTCAATCAAACCCAACCACGTGGCTGATTCTGTGCCACACAGCAGTAAGGGACAGCACACGAGCAAGACCTTTATCGGATCAGTTAAAGGATCTACTTTTTTTCTTCTGTGTCGGGTGAAGTCAATCGCCACGCGCATGGGTAGAGCGTTGAAACACGCGCCTCCGTGTGTGGGACTCCCGGTGAGCAACCGGCATGTCAGTAGGGGCGATGAGAGCGGCGGTGGCGTGGAGGGACGGTGGAGATGCCTTGTTTAGAAAGTGCGTCGAGAACACTCTCCGTTGAAGGAGGTTTTAGGCCCAAGGGTAGAGGCAACCATGGCTTGTTTATTGCCTCCTTCACTACTTTATCTATCACCTCCTCTGCCTGCAAAACCCCACATTAACATTTTAGAGAAAAAAATTTAAAATAAAAAATGATCCAATGAAGAATTTAAAGTTTATGAATTCAAAAACGACCCTTCACGGTTAAATATTTTAATATATACATAGAATTTGAGCAAAAGCTTAATTGCCATGAAATGCAACATGCTAGATCCGCCCTTGCATCCATAAATTTGAATAATTAAAAAAAGTAGAAAATGAAAACTTTTACATAGTGTGAAAATATTCAGCACTACTATGTCAAAAGTTTAATTTGTAGTGTATTTTGAAGAATCAGCGCAAAGTAACATTTGCATTCGATGTTACGTCAAATTATATCATGTTATCATGATTAAGTGATTTAACGAAGTAAAATTAAACATTAAGTGTGACAAACTTACCGGGTGAAGATCAGCTGATTTCTCTATTATGCTATATCTATTCTGTATTCCCTCAGCCCTGTGAAATCCAGATGCATTCTGCATTATACAACAAATGTACAGTTATGATTTATGAACATGGTCCAATATAATTGTGCATTCACATACAACAGCTAGCCAATATATGTTGCTGAATTGAATGTGAACGTTCAAAGTAGATCGTAACACCAACGAATTTACCTGAGGGTATGGCGTACATGATCCTAGAGATGGAGGCGTAACGGGGCAACCCCATACATCAGCGTACAGCTGCAAGTAATCAAATAACACAGAGTTTTACAAGTCCTTGAGTTCAGAATTTATCGAAACACTTAATGTAGGTAGTTTCAGCTAAAAAATGAAATAGTTCATTAGTTTTAAGGACATTAATAGTACCCCTGGTTGAGGATTCCAGTGCCATGTCTCAGGTGGTTGCCATCCAGGATAATAAGGCGAACCCCACATATGTGCACCATTCGGGTAACCTCCTGGTGGTATCCAGGCAGGATAGAATTGACCAGCTGTCGGCGCATGGTTAGAATGATAGTTTGGGAAGGCCATGACAGGTTTATGTGGATAATAGGTCCTCTGTACTGAATCTCTAGGTTGAGGACGAGGCCATCTTTTTTCGTCCTCCTTTGGCAAAATTTGCCTCCGCTGCATCCTGAATTTCTGCATGAAGAAAGGGATGATGTTCTTAAACTGAGCAATATAATAGTCTGTTTGTGTTTGCACAACTTGCTTTACAATGTCACCCTAGGCTTTATTTTAGCTAAGGGTCTGTCAGAAACAATCTCTCTGTCTCTATGAGGTAGGGTAAGGTTTGTTGTTCCTTATTAAATTTACTGCATTATGAGGTTAGATATCATGCTCCTTTCTATCTAGCAGGCAGGATTTGTTTTTTTTTTTTGCATTCATTTTCATGTATCGTAATAACTTCAATTGAAAGACAAGAGTACTAGTAAATTATGAAAGAGCAGAACAAAACTCAACAAACCTGGAGATGGCTAGCTATATTATGTCTCGTCAGGCCTTCTACTTTCATCAGCTCTAGTATTCGAGAAGGAATGGCTTGATCTATACCAATTTTCTCGACTGCTTTAACAAATTTCTTGTGTAGTTCAGGTGTCCAGTCTACCTGGATTTTAGGAGAGACGAAAGCTTACTCCCACAAGCATGTGATTCGAAAAATTCATGATTCTTTAATCTATGCTGAGTTAACTACATATAATGCTAAAAAGCACAAGGCAACTGTGCTTAAAGCCTATTCTGATTGCCAAATATCAAATTCTACTTATTGTTTAAGACATCAAAATCTCATCTAACATTTGCAAGTTAAGAACAAAATCCAAAGTAACTATCAACTAGTCAGCAGTTGTTCGATCTTACCTTCATTTTCTTCTTATTAGCTTTTGTCCCACTTGAACTATGGAGACCATAAGCTTTGTTCGGGTCAGCAGAACAAGCACTGCCATTGTCATTACTTCGTGAACAAGTAGCAATAGGATCCTCCATATTTTGATCAGCAGCAGAATCATGCTCCTCCTTTGTGATAGCCTCTCCTAGTCGCTCGGAAGAATCTGCCAAGACAGTAGTCTCAGCAACAGAATCGCAACAAGTAGTTTCGACAGATTTTGTGTCCCCTTCATGCACCCCACTATCTTGTTCATTTGACAAGATAGTATGATCTTGGAGATCACCATCATCCACTAACCTTACTCCTTGTTTCTGTTGTGGGGTTGAAGGAGCTGGATATTTATCGCAGCAGGATGATGATGTTTTTTGGTTTTCCACCACAGAGGTCAAGGGTTCAGCTTCATTAGTATTCTCATTATCTGCTTCGCGCTTTACTGGTTGGAGCTCTAGCATGGACAAAAGAGATTCTTTAACCGGCTTAAGTGACTCAGAGACATTCTTTCCTCCAGAATGAAATGCCTGTTTCGATTAATAAAAGTCAGATATCCTCTACATATAATAAGCTCCACAATCTAAAAGAACATATTTAACCCAGTGTAGTTTCGGTAAAAAACCTTGTGAACTACATGCTGCCATATATTTCTCAGTTTATCATCTGATAATGGTTTCTGAAGGAACTCAACTGCACCGAGCTGCAAGAAAAAAGTATATAAAGAATTGGTATAATTCCACAATATTTTACTTATTTACAAAGTTGTATCAAATGAAAATAGATCTTACCGCTATACACTTCATCATGATGTTAATAGAGTGAATATCTGACACCACTGGAAAAAAAGATAGGATAAAGAAGTTCTATCAGAAATATTTCACTTAACAAGCAAGATTACCAAGTTCTACTGTTTCTATGATGTTTCTTAGCAGAGATAAGTTCGTGCTTTTCACAATATCATTTTATGAATCCAGATAAAGGAATGAAGTTAACGCTAGATCCAACTTAGTAAAGCAAGTATCAATTCCAAGAAAACAAGATTAGGAGTTTAGCACCACCGAGAATGCGCCTAATTACAATACAGAAGCACTTACTTATAGTTGGTAGATCTTTAGCACTTTCGAGAAATTTGAATCCTCCATCGCTGTTGCCAGCACTTACCTGGTGACAATAGACAGACACAAATCATAAAGGGTAAACAGAACATTAGCCTTGGTTAACTTTCTGGTAATAAATCACTACAAAGTGAGAATTGATAATGAAATAGCTTATAACTTTCGTCAGGACACAAAGATATATATACCTCTACAATGGCAACATGGAATACTTCCGACTTGCTTGAGATTGCAGACAAAGCCTCATTCTCATTGCAGAATGTGTGAACTGCAAGGACATGAATGATTGTCACATGTATGAAAATGAACTTTTAGGAAGATCAACTTAAGGCCCTATGATCGACTCGAGATGTACTTTTAGAAGCTCAGTCTTTGCCTCTAAAACATTGTTGGGGATAAATAAGATGAGGCCTCTAGGAGTTGCTACAAGCTAAATCAATCACACTGATAACTCCAAGGCGATTTATAGCTTCAACACTTAATTTTGTATAGTTTAGTATTTCACCAGTTGCTAAGCTAGTACTATACTATAAGAGGCAGTTCTATTAATTACCTTCTCTTTTAGTAGTTAAAGAAGTAAATGGAAAATTTGAAACAAAAAGCTAATTTCTGGCCTTAATTTCCATCAAAAGATAAGTACAACTCACAAAGCCCCTTATTGCTCTTATTCACAAAAATAGAAAGATGGATAGTTACAGATCACTGTATTTCACCCTCCTTTGGTAATAAATGCAAAAGCAATTGGATGTGAAACCTATAAAGCTTGAAGTAGAGATCAAAACTAAAAAAAAATAAAAAAATTACCTATATAGTCCATTTGTTGAAGCCTTGATCTCATTTGAGAGGCAAAATTGGAGTCTTTATCAAGAAGGAGGACTCTGAGTCCTTTTGGGAAATCTTTCCACTCCAATAATTCATTCTCAGTGCAAACCATTTCTGAATTGGCATCCTTTTCAGGCACCCAAACAAGCCTCTAATTATGATGCTCACTTCTCAGCATCTGCACACATGAACAAATTCATTAATCACCAAAAACCTGTACACTTTTTAGTTAGTCACAAGATTTTTTCAAGAAAAAAATGAAAGATAGAGGACATGCTGCAGCAGCATATAAAAACAAAAAACACAAAACCCCATGTAAGAATTGAGATAGATCTTCAAATATAAACAGAAAAAAGACAATAGAGAAAGACCATGTGAATACACAAATGTCACAATCCAAAGACAAATTACTTGATATCAAGAAAAGAGGAAAATTGAAAGAAGTAGTTTTTTTTCATACCCTTTGATGCATGGTGAATATGTACTACTTTTGAGAAAATGCATATAACAAAAAAGAAAAGAAAACAGAATTCACAAGTAGTACTAGTTATTATATATACATTTTTCAATACCTCAGAGAAGTGCAAACTGAAAAGGAAAGTTCTTAGTAATATTGTTTGTTTGTTGATTTGTATGGTATTATTGATTGTAGATATTGCAGATACTAGAGAGTATGTAGCCGGAAATTTAAGAGAGAGAGAGAGAGAAGAAAGAATGGGTGACAGTAAGCCTGAAAAAGAGTGTAATGAAGAAGAGAGAAGAGAGATTTAAGTAGAGATGCTAACCCTGAGGGGTAGCTCAGCTGGTAAAGGCCTGGGACAAAGTCCTTCAGGTCGCCGGTTCGAGCCCCAGCAGGGCCACTGGAGGCATTACAAACCGGCCGCGTCTCCAGGGCCCCGTGGAACTAACCGTGGTGGACCCGCCTTGAAACAGCGGAACCCGGTGGATACAGCTAGTCGGGTTCGCAAAGCGACGCCCGGAAACCACGGTAAAAAAAAAAAAAAAAAGTAGAGATGCCTGACTTGTCTGAATCGTTGTTTTCTGCTATTGCGGACCACACTATACAAAAATGGCTACTTCACCATTCGTCAATAACTTTATACTACCCTACCATTCTGTTTGACTTAACACATGGCCCAATCTAGCAAGCAGCTGAATTGGTCTATCATCTGAACTTTCATCTTATCGGTGAAGATTGAATCCATTAGTTTAAAAGTATAATAGAGCAATTTATGCCGTTTAAATTCTGAATCCATTTCTAAATCAGGTGAATTTTGTACTTGTAATGAAAAATCCAATAAATATTTAACAAAAATGACTTGGGGATCTACTAACAAAGTGTGTTGTTTGTTCAAGTCATAGAAAATGAATCTTTTAAGCTTAGCTATTCTCTTGATCAAGTGTTCAGATACCTTGGTCAAGATGTAGGCCTTTCAAATGGGTGGAAACTCACAAACGTTAAATTCTAAATTCGCCTTTAATCTAAACACACCTTATCTTTACCCCTTTCCCATAACCTTCATCCTCCATCCCACACGTATACCCCTTTCCTCTCATTGTATCGTCTCTACTCTGAACATACCTCATTTTCACCCATCCCTATAACCCTCATACTTATACCTTCACTTCTTATGGTATTTGTTTAAAGTATATAAATATTTTTTGGATAATATTTTTTAATTATATATCAAATAATTTTTTTTAATTATATATCAAATAATTTTTTTAAAAAAAGTAAAAAACCTACAACTTATTTTCGTTCATACCCAACACACCCAAATTTGTGCTACGCGTGGTGTAAACATGAGTGTGTTCATTCTTTTCTTTTTTTCATTAGAGTAAATAGATAAAATAAAAATATAAAAAAAGGGAAAAGAAAGTGCTCACGATTTATGGTCAACACTAGGGCATCTCCAATCCTATTCTTTGTTTTATTCTTCAAATATAGAGTTCTATGTTTACCAATTCTCTATTTTATTCTCTAAAAAAGAATTTTATTCTCTCTCCTCAATATTATATTATTATTTTTATTTTAAATGGTTTCTTCCTTTTTCCAATTAATCATCCTATATAATTGTCATGTAATATAAAATTTTATTTTTTTCAAATTCTTTATATAATAAAGATTTATATTTTATTTGTAAAGAACCACTACGAATAATTGAAAAAAAAATCAACAAGCACAACCGCAATCACAACTACAAATTTTCTTGGTTTTTTCGAATATTGTTAAATTTGGAAATGACTTACCGGTTAATTAAATTATTATTGTGCTTTGTAAAATTATTATGTATTGTATTGTTATCTTGTATTTAAATTATTATGTTATGTATTGTATTTTTAAATTAAAATTTTCATTTTTTTATTTAAATTTTGTGCATTCTTCATCGTGAAAATTAATAAAACTATCAAATAATATTCACTTAAAGTGACAATTTTTTTTTTAAATTGAAATATTATTAATTTGGGATGAAAGTAGTATATATTAAATAATATATTTTTAAAAATATTATATTACATTTAAAAAGAGTTATGAATATTAGAAATTTAATTAATATATTTATATGAAAAATAATATGTTAATTACAAAATTATAGAAATAACAATATAATATTCAAAAAGTCAAATAGAGTGTATGAATAGTAGTTTTCCAAATTTGGAGAACTATTATTCAACTCTCTATAATTGAAGAGTAGATGTAAAATAGAGAGTATTTGGAGAAGACACTCTCTATTTTACTATCCAAATATAGAGAATGGAAAGTAAAATAGAATAGGAAAGAGATAGTCTTACTATCAGCCTTTCTCTCATAACCTTTTAAAAGATTGCACTTCACTTTTGGGGTGTTTAGTGAATAATAATGCCATTGTTATTGCCTCCAAAATCTCATGAAGGACACCTTTTTTAACTCAATATATAATGCAACACTTTAATAAACTTCCCACTTATGATCATATGAAGCTTTTTCAGTCATTATTTTCTTATTGTTTATATAACTCATTAACAATACTGTGCTCATAATTAACTTTTGAGGAGGACAAACAGTTGGTGTTACTTACTCCCTCCGTCCCTATTTACTTGTCCATATTTCCTTTTTTAGTTGTCCCTATTTAGTTGTCTATTTTGACAAATCAAGAAAGGACAACAAATTTTTTCCTATTATACCCTTATTTACACTTCTTGAAAATTGTAAAAGTGTATGTTGTTTCCCTCCAATTTATTTCACTTTAATTCAAATAAGTGGTTGTAATTTTGAAGTGAAAAGTTGTCATAAGGGTAAAATTGTAACTTCACTGTGCTAATCATTGTTGCCTTAATCTGTGTGCCATTTCTAAAGTGGACAACTAAAAAGGGACGGAGGGAGTATTATATAAGCATGGTTCAAAAGCTACAAAACTTTTTAGATGATTATAATATTGTACCTTTTTATTTTAAACTTAATTAATTAATGACGTCAGATTAAATATTCTGACTGATCTGACATTATGTTTTTTTTTAATTTTCTACTTAATAAAATCTAGTGACCCTTGTTGCTTTTCTTTTTTTATGACGCAGATATTAGTGAATGATTAAAGAAAGTAGGTATATGTAAATAAACTCATTAAAGTCTTATCATTCAATTTAAGCTTAAAAACTAAAAAAACAAATTCTTGTACAGTTGTACTATAAGCTTACTTAAGAAGGAATTAGGTATTTTCTTCTACTTAAATTTTTGATATATTTGTATTTTCTATTTATACTCAAATTTTCGAGCAAAAAGTGTTTCATCATTCTTTTTTAAGATATGGATTTCAAATAGTACTTTTTGTCTTTTGTACCAAAAATGGGAAGAAAAATTAATATTGTTAAGCCATATTGTCAGAGCAGTTTTATTCTGATTGATTTTGATTAGTTATCAAAGATTTCATAATGAAACTAGAAACTAATTGAGGTTAGTAGAATCATAAGGGTTCATTGGGAAAAAAATCATAACATGATATAATGTGCTTCATGGCCTTGTTAATTCCTCCGTCTCATATTAATTGTCATAATTTTTTTATACGCTTTTAAATAAATTATATATAAAAAATACATTTTACTAATTTATCCTTAAATGTTTCCAATGTAAGCAATATTATTTACTTTCAAAAAAATAATTCATTTCAAGAATTAAATAAAAACTAATTTATTTTAAAATTTTATAAATATTTTGAGACAACTATTTTTTAATAACATTGAAAACTAATATGGGAAGAAGAAGTAATTAGCCAAACTTTTGACCAAAATATTTTTATGAGTTCTCCTTGTCGTAATTAAAAGTGATGCGAATAAATAGTGGACCACTCACCAACTAAGGAATGAATTTTTTATTACAATAAATAAATAAATTATTGGAAGTACTACCAAAAAATAATAATTATACTTTTATTTGTGGATTTTAGGATTAATTTGTATTTCCCATTTGTTAAACTAAGAGAGTTTTTCAAACATATATCAATGACTTAGTTATGCAAGAGTTACTTGAGCATGTATTAATTTCTCTCTTGAATTAGCAAGAAAACATGAGGTGAACAAGTAAGAAAATAAAGAGGCGACTAATTAAACAAATGTTGTTGCACTAGTACTACTAAAAAAATTACTACAATATTTTAATTGATGTTTAGTGATTATTCTTATGAATATTTTAATTAAATTAGTGATAAAATAAAAAATAATAATGTTTTCACATGAAAAAATTAGGAAGTTTTTCAATGTTTCAATGAAAACCTTCCATCATGCATCTTTTAATGAGTTGGTGATGGGATATACTATTAACCATGTGATTGAGTTAAAGTATTTTATCTAATTCCTTGTAAATGCTATTTATTTTATTTTAGTTAATATAATAAAGTCTTTATTTAAATAGATCATTGTGTTAATATGTGTGTCCATTACTTATACAGTAGACAATTTTTGTGTATGGAGTTATTTAATTTATACGCGGAAGATGGTTCTTAAAAGTTATAAATTAAATGTTCACAATCAAAGATGTAGTTAGACAAACATCTTGATGATTATATTGTAGCACAAGATTAAATATAATTCGATCTTAATCATGGAAATGCTTAAATTCTAACTTCTTGTGCTACTACATTCCGTGTGTATTGAACGGACCAATTAGAGATGTTCGTTTATGTTCTGAATATTTTAAACAACTTCTCTAGTCCATTACGTATACTTATACTCTTGATCTTGATATAATTATTATGATCTATATAGTTT